CCCTGCCTAAAAATAATAAATAATGAAAGTAAAACAAGTGAGCCTTGTAACACACACCTATAACCCCAGCATTTGGGAGGTAGAAGCAAGAGTATTAGAAATCCAAGGCCAGCCTTGACTACCAGTTTCAGGCCAATCTGAACTTGAGAGCCTCGCTCAAAAGAAAAAAAAAGGTTAGGCTCAATGGTAGGCACTTATAATCCCTTTACTCAGGAAGCCTCATCAGTAGATTGCTGTAGGTTGGAGGCTAGCGTCAACCAGAGAGTAAGTTCCAGGTTAGCCTGAGGTATAAACACATATGGATAACTTATCTCAATAAACCAAAAACAAAAGAAAATTTAAAAATGAAACAAAACTTGGTCCTGGTGGCTCAGCTCCAGCTGGTGTAACCCCAATAGTCAGGATTGAGACAGGAGAATCACAAGTTCAAAGCCAACATGAACTACAGAGTGAGTTTTAAGACCAACCTGAGCAACTTAATGAGGTCCTGTCTCAAAATAAAAAATAAAGGACTGGGAATGTAGCTCAGTGCTAAGGTGCTTGCCTATTGTGTACAAGTTCCTAGGTTCAGTCACCAGTACTGTAAAAGGAAAAGAGCAAAGGATTTACTAACAAGACTCACAACTCTTAGTAGGAAAACGAGGAAGAAGTCTGTGCAAACACAGAATAGGGGGTGTAGAATTAAAGTCCCACACACAGGAAATGTATGGCCAAAGATCACACAAAGCAACTGACCAGTCATCAACTTGCTAGGGGCTGGTGTGTAGCTCAGCAGTAGAGCAGCTGCCATCAAACTTGCTAGGGGCTGGTGTGTAGCTCAGCAGTAGAGCAGCTGCCATCAAACTTGCTAGGGGCTGGTGTGTAGCTCAGCAGTAGAGCAGCTGCCATCAAACTTGCTAGGGGCTGGTGTGTAGCTCAGCAGTAGAGCAGCTGCCTATCATATGCCAGGTCCTGGTGAGTATGTATGCACTTGCATGTACACACTAGATTGCTTGTTAGTCATAAAAAAAAAACCTAGAACAAAATTAGACTCTACTCACACTGAAAACAAAAATCTGGTAAAGATCTAAATGAGAAAAACAACTTTTAGAAGAAATTTTTAAAGACTTTCCTTGTGTGTAGATACAGAAGGTGTGACAGAGACTACTTTCTGTCCCTAAGAGCCACACTCCACTCTTCCACAATAAGTACCCTGGAGCTCGGCACATTTCCCAGCCTCCTCTGGTTCATTTTTGGTTCTGGTTTTTGGGTTTGTTCTGGTTTTGATTTTGGTTCTTTGAGACACAGTCCTTCCATGTAGGCCAGCTGTCCTGGAGCTTACTGTGTATACCAGGCTGACCTTGAACTCAGAGATCCAACTATCTCTGCTGCCCCAGTGCTGAATTAAAGGCATGCACCACCAAGCCTATCTATCTAGTTGTTTTTTTTGTTTGGTTGGTTTTTTTTCCGAGACAGGGATTCTCTGTATTGTTTTGGAGCCTGTCCTGGAACTCGCTCTGTAGACCAGGCTAGCCTCAAACTCACTGAGATCCACCTGGAATTAAAGCTTGCGCCACCAACACCAGGCCTGTCTATCTAGTTTTTTTTTTTTTAAGACTTATTACATATACTGTGTTTTGCCTACATACCAGAAGAGGGCACCAGATTGAATTGTAGATGGTTGTGAGCCACCATGTGGTTGCTGGAATTGAACTCAGGATCTCTGAAAGAGCAGTCAGTATTCTTAACCTGTGAATCATCTCTCCAGCCCCGTCTGTCTAGTTTTAAAGCCTTAAAATAAAAAAGAAAAGAAAAGAAAAAATTTAATGGCACACACTTCTAATCCTAGCACTAAGGAGTCAGAGGCAAGTAGATCTCTGTGAGTTTGAGGCCAGCCTAGTCTACATGGTGAGTTCCAGGATAGCCAGGGCTACATGAAGAAACTCTGCGTCAAAAATAAATAATATTGTAAAAAGGAAAAAAGAAAAAGAAAAAAGTGATTAGAATAAGGGAGTACAGCATTCCTATTTCTTGGGCTAGAAATGGGGCTCAGTTGGTAGAATGCTTGCCAGGTATACAACTCCTGGGCTTGATGTCCAACACATCATAAAACCTGAGTGACCACATAGAGGTATAATTCCAGTATAGGAGTGGTAGAGGCGTGAGGACCAAAAATTCAAGGTCATTCTCAGATACACAGTGAGTGGGAACCCCGTCTCCTGAGCTACATGAGACCCTATCTCAAAACAAACAAACAAAAGAGAGTTCCTGATGCTCGTTGTCCATATTAGGAATTGCTAAACTTTGATAATTTGTCAGGTTTTGCCATAAGAATCCTTTATTTTATTTATTTATTTATTTTTGCTTTGCTTTGTTTTCATCTGTTTGTTGTCCTCTGTAGACCTGGCTGTCCTCAAAGTCACAAAACTCCACCTGCCTGACTCCTTAGCGCTGCAGATAAAGGCTTGTGCCACCACCACCCAGTAAGATTTTTTTTTTAATGTGTTTGTGCCGTATGCATGCTGGTGCCACACTGGACAGAAGAGGGAGCCAGATTCCCTGGATCTGGAGTTACTGATTGTGAGCCACTGGGTGTAGGTGCTGAGAACCGAACCTGGGTCAACTGCAAGAGCATAAAGAGCATCAAATCCAAAAAGAGCTCTTCACCACTAAGCCACCTCTGCAGCCCTGAGTTTACTGAATTGTAATTTGCATTTCTCTAATTGTCTTCAAAGCCAGGCATTTGTCATACGTTTATTCCATTGTTCAAAGTGTTAGTCAAAGCTGGGGGTGAAGCTCAGTGTAGGAGTGATTACATAGCATGGACAAGGCCTGGGTGTTTTCATATCTTGTAACATATTTTAATTTTTTTTAAAGACAAGGACTCATGAAGCCCAGGCTGGGATTAAATCCACCATGTAGCTGAGGCTGTCTTTGAAGTTCTGATCATCTTTCTTCCATCTCTCAAGTGTTGGCACTATAGGTATACGCCACCATCCCTGGTGGTAGTAATATTTTTATCTGCCTGTCTATCTATCTACCTATCTACCCACCTACCTACCTATAGTCTCACACTATAGCCCAACTATCTATATTTATTGTCTGTCTGTCTGTCTGTGAAGGACACTGCAGCCCAGTATCTGTGTATCTGAGACAAGGTCTCACTCTAGAGTTTATGGCCTTGAACTCACTATGTGGGCTAGGCTGGCTCTAAATTCACAGCAATGCACTTGCCTCAGACTCCTGCATGCTGGGATTGCAGGTGTGAGCTGCCACACCCATCTATTTTTCCCTTTGATATAGTCAGATGTTATCAAGCAAAAACACCCCCAAGAGTGTCAGTCAGCTTTTCATTTGGATAGGGAATATCTGAGAGTTAAGTTATAAAAAGGGTTTATGTTGGCTTCTAGTTCTTGAGGTTTCAGAAGTTTATGTTGGCCCGATGGCATTGGCGTGCTACAGAAGGAGGGCAAGGTAGAGGGGTGCTTATCTCATGGCCAGGAAGCAAAAGAAAAAATAAGGAAGACATTCCTGGGGTTCCCTGTCCCCTTCCATGCTGTGACCCCAAGGAACCGAAGACCTCCCACCTGGTCCCACCTCCCGATGGCTTCCACTGTCTCGCATCAGGGCCTAATTAGACAGCATGCTTTTCCAACTGAACCACTGAGGGAGTCTGTGGTTGCCGTACCAATCAATTCTATTTATCCTTTCTCCATCAATTTGGGGACATTAAAAGTTTGATGGTTGCTGGGTAGTGGTGGCGCATGCCTTTAATCCCAGCACTTGGGAGGTAGAGGCAGGCAGTTAGGTCTCTGAGAGTTCAAGGCCAGCCTGGTCTACAGAACAAGTTCCAGGACAGTCAGGGCTATACAACTGTCTCTGAGTGAGAATGAGGGTGGGGGGTGTTAAGTTTGTTTATTTGTTTAGACATGGTATCACTATGCTTAATCACATTGGGGAGTCCCTTCAAAAGATCTAGAAAAACTGATGGTACACACTACCAATGATCCAACAGCTCCATTCCTACATGTAAATCCTAGAGAAAGTCCTGTACATTGCTAGGAAGGATAGGATACATGAATGTTAACTGAAGCATGATTTTCCATAGTTGAAACTTAGCAGCCACCCCGTATCCACCAATTAAAAAACAGAGATGCATTAGCACAAGGATAGAAAAAGCAAACTGCCAACAGAACAGCCAAAACAACAAAGTTGAAAGTATATAAAAACGAAGGTAGTAGCAGTAGTAAAAGCAGAGACAAAAATGGCAAACATCAGGATGAAGATGTCTAGGGAGCTGGGGATAGGAAGTGTTTGCCTGGGGTTTGGGAAGCCCTGGGTTCCATCTCCAGCACCTCATAACCCAGGCATGGAGGTGCCTGTCTATGATCTCCGCATCTGGGAAGCAAAGGCAGCAGGATCTGGCATCCAAGGTCATCTTTGGCCACATATCAAGTCAGAGGCTAGCATGGACTGAATGAGAGAGACCCTGCCTCAGCAACACAAAAATGGGGAAGGGGATGGAAGAGATGAGAGAGACGGACCGCGCAGGGTGGGAGTGCATTGCAAATGTTTCCAAGTTATCCTTAAACGCAAAGCAAATAGGTACTGGGCGGTGGTGGCACACACCTTTAGTCCCAGCTTTGGGAGGCAGAGATAAGTGGATGTCAGTGAGTTCAAGACCTGCCTGGCCTCAAAGCTATAGACAGCTTGGTGTGGTGTTGCATGCCTATAACCCCAGAACTTGGTAGAAAAAAAGAAAGAAAAGAAAAACTATATAGACTATCAGAGTTTCTGATTCAGTACATTCAGAATATGACTTGAGAATGTGTGTTTCTAAGGTACTAGGTGATGTTAAAGTGGAACCAAATTTTGCAGAAGTCAGAGTGGCACATCCCTGCAATCCTAGCATTCTTGAGACTGAGACAGGAGGATTTGTTCATAGGCCAGCCTGGGATACATTGAAAGATGTTGCCTAAAAAAGGAAAGAAAAGGTGGCCTGTGGCCCTGGTCTCGCAGAGATGCTTCAGAGCCTCATGAAGAATGTCCGGGTCCCCATGAAACCCTACTATATCCAGGTTTACCAGGAAATTTGGGTCGGAATGGGTTTAATGACCTTCATCCTTTATAAAATCAGGAGTGCTGATAAAAGAAGTAAAGCTTTGAAAGGCTCCAGTCCTGCTCCTGCCCATGGCCATCATTAACCAACCGCTCCCTGAGTCTACTCAAGATGAATCCTGACGGCTAAACTTAAAGCAAGCTGTGTTAATGTGGCATTAATAAATGTATCTGAGCACCAAAGGGGAAAAAAAAGGAAAGAAAAGAAAAGGCAAACCAGATCTAGCATATCTCTGAGTTTGAAGTCAGCCTGATCTACATAGCAAATTCCAGGACAGCTAGGCCTATATACAGAGAAACCCTGTCTCAAAAACTAAAATGAAAAAAAAAAAGAAAGTAAAGGAAAAAGGCAAGACTGTCCTTTGAGATCTGAGAGTCTCATAAACACCACGTGTGTTTTGTAGCCAAGAAGAAGAGGCCAAACATGGAAGAAAGCACTGGCGTTCTTCCTCCATTCTTCTTGGGCTGGGGCCAGCGCTGAAGCTCATAACTCTAGGTGGTGAATAAGAGTGTTGACAGCGTGGCAGGTAGGAACCAGGTGTCAACACAATGAGTATGATATCAACTCCTTTTCCCTAAATGCATATCCAGAGAGCATGATGTAGCTGGAGGGAAGCTAACCAAGCCATGTTCCTCGATTCCCCTCGTCCTTGGCATAAACTCTGGTTGCATGCTTTGAGGGGTAGGAAGAGGGTTGAAGATATTGACTTTCATCCTGTAAGTACCCATCAAGTCAGCCGGACTCTGGGCTGCTTGAGCCTCTGAGTACATCTGAAGCCAGTCCCATTTGGGGATTTTCAGCTTGGTGGGCCACTCTCCAGACCTTCTCCTTTACTCTTTTGGTTTGGTTGGGTTTGGTTTTGGTTTTTTGAGACAGAGTTTCTCTGTATTGTTTTGGAGCCTGTCCTGGCACTCACTCTATAGACCAGGCTGGCCTCAAACTCACAGAGATCCACCTGCCTCTGCCTCTTGAGTGCTGGGATTAAAGGTGTGTACTCTTTTCAAGGTGGGGAGAGAACCAAGCTTCCTGGATGTGATGACGGTTAATGGACTCTTGGGAACCTCTGAGTTTGGTTCTTCTCAGCAATCAGCAGGGGCATTCATGCGTTCCTGGGCTCTCCAAGCTTCACCATGTTCACCAGCCTTCCAGGCTGGAAATAGACCTACAAACCTTAGCTGACAGAACACCGAGGGAACTTGTGTGCGTGACTGCATAAATGTGTGTGTGAATGCCCAGGGGAAGCTGAAGGCCAGAACATGGAAAAAAGCCAGAAGCCTAAGGCTGGTCATTAGCTCCAAGCCAGAGCCTTCCTGTCCCTGAGTGGGCCCCAGTGTTCTGCCAAATTGACAGGCGTTCACTGTATAATGAAGTCCTCGATGATTATCCTGATGGTGTCCCCAGAGATCTGGGCCCTGGGAGGTTCATCTACCGCCAACCCTGCTTCCTTGGGTCCACTCCCTATGGAAATGAGAATGTCCCTGTGGCTCCCCCAACCATTTCACTTCCCCAGCATAATGCCTATCCCCAAGGGACCCCAATCCTGGGGCCTGCTATGACAGCAATGATTTATTAATTGGATTAATGAGAGGCCTAGGCAGGAAGAGCAAGAGAAGCTGGCAGACAGAGGAGGAGGCAGGGAAGCTGGGAAGATCTTAGCACACAGAAGAACTAAAGAGGGCAGGGTGAACAACAGCTCCCACTCTCAGTATTTGGGGGAGGGGAGAGGGGGGACTTAGAAGATAGTTTAACAAACTCATATTCCTTTTTTACTTTTAAATTGTATTTATAATTATTTGTATGCATGATGAAGAGGGCATGGTATTTCTGTGGAGGTCAGGGGACAACTGTATTGAGTCAGTTTTTCTTCCATGTTTAGGTTGGTTCTGGGAATTGAACCCAGGTTGTCAAGATTGAGCAGCAAATGCTTGACCCATGAGTTAGCCATATCCCTGGCCTTTTTAAAAAGACAAAGTCGTAGGTAGCCCAAGTTAACTTTGAAATCCTTATGTAGTCAAGGATGACCTTGGTTTCCTAATCTCCCTGCCTTCACCACTAAGTGCTGAGATGGTAGGCTACCATGCCTGACCAAAACTCACATTCTTTATTAGAAGCCCGCTCACTGCACCACGGTAACCAGCCAGCTCCACCCACTAACTGCCAAAGATTCCAGGCTCTATCCTGTTTTATATCATCTTAGATAATCTTTGCAAGGTTCAGACAATACTCATCATAATGAGAAAATCGAGAAGCGCAAAGTCACAGGAGAGTAAATATCAGAGACCTGAGTTGCACAGTCTGACTTTGGGGTCCAGACTTCTCGTTGTTGTCTTGTTTTGCTTTGTTTGAGACAGGTCTCATAACGTAGTCCAGGCTGGCCTCAAACTGGCTTAGTAGGTGAGAATAATCGAACGGATCCTCCTCCTGCCTCTATGTACCGAGTGCTGGGATTGCAAGGGTATAACTGCTTGTCCCATCCTTTAGGAGTCCAAGCTCATGGCCATTGTAAGAGACATGACAGGAAATGAGGATCAATCCACAAACAAGAGCATTTCCTGACCATGTCTCTTCTGTGTAGACCAGGCTGGCCTCGAGAACTCAGAGACCCACCTACCTCTGCCTTCTGAGTTCTGGGATTAAAGGTATGAGCCTCAGCTACCTGATAGCACTAAGCCTTCATAAGCAGCATCTCTAAGCTTATGAGGCAAAGTCGTTTACCCTCCTCCCCCCTTTTGCAGATGAAGAAACTTGCAGGTGACGTCATTTCCCTAAAGTCCCATCACGACTAAGGAGTGTCTGAGCAGAGACTGGCTAGCTGTATGTCATCCATTGCAGCTCTGGCCTTATTCCATTGCCCTTTTTCAGGAATCCACCTGTGTCCTGAGTGTTTACACTCAAATTCACAGGCTTCTTCCACAGGTGGATGGTGAGCCTTCCTATTTGTCCACAGAAAGCTCCAGAGTGGCATGAGGATCAAGATCATCAGAATTTAGCTGACATAGCTGGAACCTGAGCCCAGTGAGAGGCAGGCAGCCAGGGAGCAGCCCGTGACATGCACAGACAAGGGTCCTTCAGAGAGTCCCGAGTCCAGCTTCCTGCCAGATCCAAGAACAAGCCTAGGGGTGGTGATAGAATGACAGTTGCCTCAAAGTTTTGAAGTTTAATTTTTCTTCTTTCTTCTCTTTTTGTTTTTCTTCTGTCAGTGAGGCCAGTGGGATATTGCGAGTCCTTCCTGTTTATCTGAAGCAGCAGTTCCAGCTGACCAGCCACTGGGAACCTGCTGCTTAGGCAGCTGATATGGACTGCAGAACAGCACGTGGAAAGTAGGACAGATGGTCAACATCCTCCAGGGACTGAGCATGGCCTTGCAGAGAGGAGCCAAGGGTTAAGGACGAAGACACGGGAGCAGAGTTCATGCATGCCTACCTAGCTCTTCCCTGACCTGAGCATATTTCACTTTTTAAAAAAAGAGAGTGAGAGAGAGTTTGTTTGCTTATTTATTGATTGATTTATGTGTGTGAGTGCCTGAGTGTAAGTAAATGTAACACATGAGTGTAGTGCCTGCCAAGGACAAAAGAGGGTGTTGGATCCCTAGAACTGGAATTACATGAGCTGCCATGTGAGAGCTGGGAACTAAACCCGGCTTCTCTGCAAGAGCAGTCAGTGCTCTTAACCACAGAGCCATCTCTCCAGCTCTTCCTATTTCACTTTTGAGAGTAATAGTAATAAGGGACTGCAGAAACTTTTAAACCACACAGGAAAATATAAACAATGAAGCCTTCAGGGATGGAGAAGTGGCTCAGCTGGTAGGATGTCTAGCATGAACAAAGTCCTTAGTCCAAGGCCCAGAATCACATAAACAGGGTAGGGGAGATAGCACACACTTAACAATCCTAAGCCTGGTGGTGGCAGCAGCGGTGGCGCACGACTTTCACTCCAGCATTTGGGAGACAGAGGCAAGAAGATCTTTGTGAGTTCAAGGACAGGCTGGTCTACAGAGTGAGTTCCAGAACAGCCAGCGCTACACAGAGAAACCCTGTCTTAAAAAACAAAACAAATCAAAACAAAAATCTAGTACTCAGGAGGTAATGTGGGGACAAGAGAATCAAAAGCTCGAGGACCATAATCTTCATCAGAGAGATTTCATCCAGCAACTGATGGGAGCAGGTGCAGAGACTCACAGCCAAACCTTAGACAGAGCCTGGGGAATCCCTCGGAAGAGAGCGAGGGTGGATTGTAGGAGCCACAGAGGTCGAGGACGCCACAAGAACACAGCCCACAGAATCAACTAAGCAGGGCTCATAGGAGCTCACAGAGACTGACAAGACAATGAGGGAGACTGAGTAGATCTGAGCTAGGTCCTCAGCATATACATTATGGTTGTGTAGTTTGCTGTTCTTGCGGGACTCCTAACAGTGGGAGTGGGGAGTGTCTTTGACTCTTTCTCCTGTTCTTGGGACCCTTTTCCTTCTACCAGGTTGCCTAGACCAACCCTGATATGAGGGGAGGTGCCCAGCCTTATTGTGACTTGTTTTGCTACGTTCCGTTGATATCCCCGGGAAACAGAGGTGTGGGTCTGGGGAAGAGGGAGGAGTAAAGGAAGGGGAAACTGTTGTCAGGATGTAATATATGAGACAACAACAACAATAATAATAATAATTTTTGAATTTCAAAGTCATTCTGTACTATACAGTGAGAAAAGGTCAACCTGAGCTATCTTGTCTCCAGAAAAAAAGAGGAGGAGGAGGAGGAGAAGAAGAAGAAGAAGAAGAAGAAGAAGAAGAAGAAGAAGAAGAAGAAGAAGAAGAAGAAGAAGAAGAAGAAGAAGAAGGAGGAGGAGGAGGAGGAGGAGGAGGAGGAGGAGGAGGAGGAGGAGGAGGAGGAGGAGGAAGAGGAAGTCAAGCAGACACTCTCCTAGGATAGACTCTGATAACCATCATTGTCTTCCAGATACATTTTCTGTGAAAATATCTGTATACATAAGGGTGCTTTTATTGTTTGATACAAAATGAAAATCATAGGTAGTAATTCAGTTTTATTTTGTTTTGTTTTGTTTTTGTCAAGTCACACTCATGGCATATATAAATTGTCATTTATGGGGCTATAGATACAGTTCAATGATGGTACACTTCCCTAGCTTCTGTGA